CACGGGGGTGCTTAACTTGTTTCCAGGTGTATATATATATATAATTTGCTTTAAAGGTTAGTATTACAGAAAATGTATATAGGCTAATATAGCAAAGGAATATAGAATCAAATCTGTATAAGCTGCACCAAAAATTTTGGAAATAATCTTGCCAGTTTAGATCAGTAGGGGGCAGTGTTTAACGAAATTGTAAGTTTATGTTGTGATTGGTTGATTATTTCAGAAATTTTCGCTAACTGTCCCTAATTTTGATCTGATAAACTAGATGGAAGGTAGTTATTCAACATGACCCACCGTCTACGTTTGGAATACTCTAATGAGTCTAATCGAATAGTGGGATGTGACCGACACCATTATAACGTATCAGGGCCCCAAAGTGCAGAGAGCGTATTTTTCTTCGGTAAAAAAACTCAAATAGTGAACCCTTGGATTCGCAGTCCGGCATGGTAACCACAAGGATGCGACTTGTTTGTTTGTAATTAACCACAAAGCTAAACCATGGGCTATTTGTGCTCTGCTCACCACGGGTATCGAAACCCAGATTCTAGCGTTGTAAGTCCGCAGACATACCGCTGTGCCACTGGGAGGCCAAGGGTACGAAAAGCCTGTATATAATTTGAAATATAAAGGGATTTGTCAGAATAATGCTACTTTAAAAACAGTTAAATCCATCAAATGCCTAGACAGCACACTGGAGTCCATGCATAACTCCAGTTTCAGTGACACAAGCCTATGAGAATAGTGACACAATCTACGTTGACCGAATACAAATCATACCAGTACCTCACAAGTTCACCCCCATTGTTAACTGCTGCCCATTTTACAGTTGGCTGAACTGAAGCACTTGAGGTAAAGTGTCTTGCCCAAGAAGGCAATGATAAGGTACAGGCAAGACTCGAACCCAGAACCTTTCGATTAAGAGTCCAAAACACTAACCGCTAGACCAAATCGTCCATAATGTCACTTTGCTTGTTAGATAAAGTGAGAATAAAGGGGTTAGCCATATAAAAATAAGATATGAAGGAAAGACCCGAGTTATATGAAAAACCACACCCTGTAAAGATATAATTTAAAAATAGATAAAATAAATACAAAATAATTGGCAAATACTTCCCCACTTTTGCTATATATTGCAACCGGATAAAGTAACAGCACGAACATAAATCGAGGCCCAAGTTTATTTCAATTTTCTCGTGTTTTACATTAGATATTTACAGGGTATGCCTTTTTATGTAGTCTGATTCTCATTTTCTTTACGTAACTGACCACTTTATTATAAGTTGGTTGTTTTTATTCACCTAAAATGGTATATTATAGATCCCACTTCTGACATCAGTTTATTATTACGAGTCAGCTTTCTTACGATCATACTATGCTCGCACGTCACTTTCCCGTCTACCTTATTAAGGTTGTACTTATTTCTAACAGAAATCGTCTCGTTTATTAATATAACCAATAACACATTTTGTTTCTTACTGGCAGTACATTACTTGCTTTCTTGCCTCTCTCGGTTTATTTGCTCTCTCTCTTACATCTTCTGGTCTTTTCTCTGTCGTTTGACTTCTGTCTTTTATATCCTTTTCTCCAGTCCACGCCAATAAGTCCTTTTCCTTTATGGCATTACACCTATTTTTCGTAATCGGATTATAATGCTTCATAATGGTAGGTGTTCTTGTAGCTTCCAAATTCGACTGAACTTAGAAAGGAGACGGCTCTCTCCAATCATATTTTAACGACTTAAAGTGTCTTAATCCCATAATCCCTTAGGGACTGACCAAAAGCCGACCATTTTCTCAGCTCTCTCAACCCAAACCAACGATTTCCTACACCTAACTTCATAACACTTATTATTGATAAATGCGGGTTTAGAAAATAATAAGAAAGTTATAACTTAAAATGTGACAATGCAGTTAATATGAAACGTTTTTTCTACAATTTACAGATTCCACATCGATTTTTGTACACATTTTTCAAAACCCTGCAGTCAAGCGTGCTCTAACTGTAGGCTGTCTCCTTCACCTTACTCAACAATTTGTGGGCATCAACACTGTCATGTAAGTTAGCCTCGGATTATCGTATGTTAATTACAATAATTTTAACCATTGAATTGTTCTAAGGGTAAATAGTGCATTTTATGCTTAGTGTTTTGGGGAGTTTTGTAAAAATATTTTTTAAAATAAGTTTAGTACTATTTTCGTATAATTTTTAAAAACAGTCTTAAATTCTAGATAAAAATATTTAGTCTTACCTGTTGTTTTAGCATAAACTTTTTCGTCTTAGAAAAATGTAAAACAGTGAACGATATTAAATGATTTATTAATTAGTTTGATTCTTGATCTATCTTATTAAACTTCAGCTGTATATAAGGATACGAACTGAGTAATATATATTGTGTATTTTTTGGGTTACAAATGATATTTCTACACTAAATGAAAACGTTATTTTTACTTCCTACCTAATATTGTGCTGGATCCAAAGGTCACTGCAATAATAACTTGAATTTAGGGCGGCATAAACTTCACAATTTGTGAGAATGTATCTTATTTGATTGTAACCTGTTTGTTAAGGGTTATGGTTTGCAGTCGATTTGCAAGTATTAAAGAAGATTATTGTGATGAGTGCACTGTTTATGTTTGTCCCAAAAATGCTCCATGAGGTTGAGATCTAATGATTTTATTTGCTAAGTAAAATGACAGAGGTCACTATCATGTTCATCGAACCAAGTTATGACAATTAGAGAATAGTGGTCGAATATAGTATTGCTCTCTTGGAAGAACCATAGGCTATAAAAGCAAAAATGCAGCATTGTGAAGTGTACACAAATTACGACAATATTTATGTATTATGCAAATATTATTTTATTTCCTAAAGGAACAAAAAAGACGCAACTACTGTCACGAGGACGTTTCCTATACCATTACACCACTTCCAGCAGCATGCTCTATAGGAATAATATGAGTGGGGTTGAGTTAATTTTTCTCCATACATTCCTCAAGTAGATACATTCCTTTCCTATTCATAGTAGGTTTGAAAACTGTCTGTTGAAAGAAAAGG